GTATTATAATATTATTTAAATATTTAATTCATACCTGATTTGTTATTAGATAAAACTTGTACCTGAATTTTGAATTAGAAATTTTAAACAACTGGTTTTTTTTAATTTCCACTAACAATAAATGATTTAATCTACTTGGTACAATGATAGTTGACAAGGTTTTTTGACAATATTTGATGTGATAAAAGTTGGGCAGTTGATTTAAAAAATAATTTTTGAAGTTTTTTGAAATTAATGAATGTGATTATGCCAAATCATGATTGTCAACAATTCTTGTCAACCATCGTTGTACATGTAGTATGATTGACAATAAATTTCTAGTAATTGGTTGGTTGTTCTCTATGAATTGTATACTTGATATAATATTTCGTATAACTATTATCATCATTTCGTTTGAGAATAATTAAAAGTGATATTTCATATCATCATTTTTTCTACTTCAAAATTGGTGAAGGGGATAGCAATATAATAACAAGAATAAGAGAATGAAGATTAGAATAAAAAGGCGTATAAACAAATTCCAAGTTAGCGAAAGGTCAAATCTAAACTAAATAGTATTGAAATCCACTATTTATGATCAAGGTAATAATTGATAACACATTTTCGTTAGCATTTGTAGCTCATGTCTAAGAGTTTAAACATTCAAATCAAATGATTTTCATATAATACAATGGGATAAGAGTGACTAAAAATTCTAAGTTCAAGTTTCATTGTTACCTATTTTATCGAAAATTTACACGATTTCGACATGCACGTGAAATGGTGCGTTGAAGATGAAAGTTAGACAAATGCGTATAATTCATATCTAACAGTTTAAACTTTTAAAAGAAGTGATTCAACAACCTCGCATCCAATCTCGAGTATATGCAATTATGTAGTTCATTAATATCAATATTGTCAATATTGGTTTACCATTTTCTGGTTTCTTTCTCGGAAGTATGCACGTACAACCGCCAAATAAAGGTGAAAAACACATGATTTGATAGAGATTTTAGCTATAGAGACTTGCGTCCACGTTGCAAATCAACCAAAAGGAGAATGTAACACAATACTTAGGTAAATCAAAGGATTCACCAGTTCCAATCATTTGTCCACGTGAGACATTCTTAGAAGAAGAAGAAGAAGAAGAAGAAGAAGCAGCAGCGCATTCGATTTAAAATCGTGATGTAAGCAAATGACACCACTTCAAGAATTGCAATTTAAGTCCTCCAAGTTTATACTTACATTACTTGCATAACAACATCTTCCTTTTACTAAGAGTAATATCATTTATGCCATGTTTGGTACAGATTAAAATCTAAATTTTAATTTAAATCAAAGTCAACAATTCATTTAAATCACATATTTTATGATTCCACAATTTTTCAATCACATATTCCATCAACTTTTATCAAAATCTACTAAAAATTGATTTTAATCTCCACCAAACAGGGGTTAGTATAAGAGGTATTTAACATCAATTTTGGAATCATATGTTTAACTACATGTAAAGATTTAATGCCCATTTAATATGATAATGTGGCGTTATCTAAACTAATGTTAAACACCACTTATACTAGATAATATCAATTGAACTCGTAAGTTTGAATCTCTAAGGCATATTTCATTAAACCTCTAAACAATGGTTTTTTTTTGCTTATTATTAGGCTTGGCTATATTTGGGTTGCTTTTTCCAAACGGGAAACTCTTCTTGGCCCGGCTCAATGCCA